TTATTTTTTTTGTAAACCCCCCCCCCCTCAGTTGCCATTTGCTTGCTTCTATTTCTATAGTTTGGGGCAGGGGCCTGTCCTCCCAGGGCTAGATCTTACCAAAAAGAAAAAGATTTTTGTAACACTTCTTGTCCCAGGGAGTAGCAGAGGACAATGTCAGAACGTTCTTCACCCACTCTCAATCAGAAGAAAACTGCCTATTGCCTTTTTGTTTCATGAATATACGGAATTACTGGGGGGGGGGGGGAGAGAGAACGAGAGACAAATAATTTTACAGATCAACTATTTTCTAGGTTTGAAAACCTAGTATATCTATCTGTAGGGAGAGCATATTAAATGGGAGGGGGGAATATCTGATTAAGATAATTTATTGCTTCAGCTTTCCATTCATTGAGAAATGTGACACATTTGTAAATCTTTGTTATATGTGTGTGTTCAAGGAAACAAATATTTAGGTATATGCTTACTTCATTAATGTAATTGTTGAAACAATGCCTCTACAATAATCAGGACTTACAAGTTTCTAATGAAAAACTACATTTTGTAACCTGAATAACATTGATTGCAACATCACAACATGCCCAGAAGTAACATTTGTAATAGAAAACTAAAAATGGGGGGGAAATCTATCTTTTAATATACCAAAATGTATGGCAGATTTTTTTCCCCAGAGATTGAGGGATTTAAATCATTTATAATGATTTATATTTATAATGTCCCTTCATGCAAATCCTTCAATAGGAGCTAGCTAAGATGTTTTTATATTGTTCAAGTCTGCAAAACGTTTAGAAGATGATCACACAAATAAAACTGGGATTTAAAAACTTCAGAAAAATGAATGCTATAGTCATTGAAATCTGCAAAGATATTAAGAGAAGCCTACTCTTAAATAGGTTGCCAACATTTCCATAATTATATTATTACTTTACTGGGCTTCAGTAAAAGCAGCATTAAAATTTATTAAAATTAAGATTTAATTTTAATCTTAAATTGAGGGGGGGGAAACATTTCCTGAACCCGTTTTTTATTATCAAACTCATTTAGATTAAACTCCAAAATCTTTAATGAGGCAGGGATTTTGGTTAGGATGGAAGATTTGCAAAACAGGCTCTGTTATTGGGAGAAAATGTTTCTCAGGGTAGCCAAGAGAAGTGCCTAAGGAAAATAAAGCCTTCCCAGCCCCCCCTTTTTTTTTCAAACAGAGAGAATTGTGAATAAATATGATTAGCATGAAATGTGTGCTGTTAAATTTCACAGGTGTTTGTTAATTGCCTTTATTGAGAAGAATTTACATTATAATGCTAAATAAAAACAACATTGTAAAGCTCAATATGAATTGACACCTACAGCTTTTCCAATGGATTGGTATCAATAAGTGGCCACATACGTAGCTTCAATAATACTTGCAATCACATTTTTTGATATGACTGCCAGTTTTGGAAACATAGACGTATGTGATTATTTACTAATATTTATTCATGTGGACCTAAATTGCAAGTGAATGTTCAAAGTGATGAAAATATTACCAATCCTCCCAAGAAGAACGTTGGAATCTCAAGTACTGAACAGGAAATAATTTTCCATTAATGGTGCAAAAAGGTATATTAATGAAACATCCAGTATTGCAGTACTCACTATCATATTATGGAATATATACGGTATATAAATGAATTCCTCTTGTTTTTGTTAAGCGTACAAATCTTACCTAATTCCTTTTTTTTTATATCGCTTGGTTGTTAGCACATGGATTTTTTTTTAAATAAAGAACTTTGAAATACCTTAATCAAGGAGTTACATTTATTTAAACATCTTTCATTTAGTCAATCTTCAGTTTTTAAATGAAACGAAAGTCCTATTTGCATTAGAGGAGTCAGTTTTCTATGCATAAAGAAAAATAAGATTCTGCAGAAATTAGCCATATCTCCAATAAACAGAAGTCTAAAGGGCTCAGTGGCTAAGATGCTTAGCTTGTTGATCAGAAAGTTCGGGGGTTCAAAATCCCTAGTACTGTGTAACGGAGTGAGCTCCCATTCCTTGTCCCAGCTTCTGCCAACCTAGTAGTTCGAAAGCATGTAAAAATGCAAGTAGAAAAAATAGAAACCACCTTTGGTGGGAATAGCAATAGCAATAGCAGTTAGACTTATATACCGCTTCATAGGGCTTTCAGCCCTCTCTAAGCGGTTTACAGAGTCAGCATATTGC